TTCTTTTAAAAATAAAATGTAAAGGGAAACCTTATCACGTCTTCAATTCTACCCTCCACACACACACACACACACACACACACACACACACACACAGGTCAGAAAATCCCATTTATCCAAAACTTACCCAAAATTTTACCAAGTTCCGCAATAATTTATTCCATCACCCCAGCCGCGCCCAAGCCTTGTCCAACAGGGCCCATCCCTACAATCCCAATAAGGCGTCTCAAAAGGAAATGGCCCCGCGACCTCTTTTCTGAGGAGTAGGCAGTGAAGTTCAGTTAGTGAAGTGAAGTGGGTGAATAGATGGAAATACGTAAATATTTGTAAATGTATCCATCTATCATTAAATTACATATTACAAACAAAAATTGCAGATTGAAATAAAATATTTTTTGTTTTTAAATCAATCGAATTTATCTGCGCTCGTGTGACTTTATCCGCCATTGCGATTAATTAGACTTCGATTTTATCAGCCTTAAAGCATATAATCCTGACTTTTTAAGTCCCTAATTCGTAAAAAAGAATCCTAGACCGGCTTTTTCTCGTCGGGCCTTGACCTGTGAGCAGTACAGCCGTTTTTAATCAAATAAACAAGAACATCTGTCTTTTTTAAGCTTAGAGAGTTTCCGTTTTATACACTAGTTTTGACTCTGCGTTTTTATTCACTAATAAAAGTGTAGAGCGGATACCTGCACCTGGGCCAAAGCCTGCGCAGGTGCCCCTTATGCAGAGAAAAGGTTGATGGACGTGTCCACATAATAGAAGCTTGTCATGCCTAGGCTCCTTACTGAGAGCGTATAGGCATGCCGCCGGATTTAAGAGTGGTTCGGGCAAATTAGCGAATTTTTGGGTCTCCTTTTTATACAGGGCATAGTGTTTTTTTTTTTATATTGTATATAAATCTGTCCCTTGTGTTTTGTCTGAGTATGTGTATTTATTAGAGGGGGATGTGAAATATAGTCACCATTGAGCTAGTGTCAATGCTAGTGTGAGTTATTTATCTTATTGCTATTGTGGGTAAGACGATAGAGCAATATACAGTACTAAACCGATCAACCAGAATGAGTGCAATGAACATAAGTGTGAATGTATTTATTTGCGCGATGGTCGGTAGTTTTAAGCTAGATGATATTTTGCATGCGTTGGCTTAGATGTCGAAAGCCACTGGAGCTTAACCCCCTTTGGTTGGGAAGCAGTGAACTCCTCTGAGATATCTACCCTAGGGTTAGCACATCTGGGAGTGGGCATCCCTTCGGAGTGAAAGTCTAAATAATATAAAATATTTATATTAATTGTTTAAAAAAAAAAGTTCGTTACGTTATTCATGATTCATTAACTTTAGCATGTCAGAGCGATGACAAAAATGTGTTGATTGCCAGTTCAAAGGCTGTTTCCGAATTTAGCTTTTCTATCTAATGAATTTCTAGTCTCTAAAAAGATAATCAAAATATTTGAGAGAATTGGCATCGAAACCATATTTTTTTCGGGGAGGGGGACTTAATGCAAAACTTCCAGTTTCCAACTTTCCGAATGTTAAAGATAAACGTCTGTTATTCACTTTTGTCTGATTCGGATTTCGACAGTTTTTCGACTTGCCACGACCGTACCTCCTGTGGCCATCGGATTTTCGTCATTATTCCGTGCTTCTCAGATAATGTCTTCTTTTTTCCACGCTGATCACCTTGAAAGAAAACGTAAACTTTCTCCAAACGGGGTGTGTGGAAAAGCGTCAGTTTCCATTTTCAGGCAGCTTCACGAATGCCAATTATCATTTTATCGGAAAAAAGATTAGTCACTAATCTGCCTGTACTCACAACATTCTGATTGACCGATTTATTAACTTAATTTAACGCGTTGAAAACGCCTAAACTAAAAAAAAAGAAAACTTCCTCAGTCAATTGAACATATATATGATTAAATAAGACATAAATGGGGTTGAATATTCTCGTCAATCTGCTAGTCCTTCATCATCCTATTTTGTCTATCTATTCTATTTTAGTCATTCGTGATATAGCCAAGGGGAAAAACACATTTACAAATTAAATTTTCTTGTAAATGTCGTTAAAAAAGCATATTATTTTTGCTCACTCAGTAAAAATTAAATTTACATTTTTTATACAGTGGCACATAATTTCGTTACATTCTTATAACAAGGAAAAATTTATGAAGACGTGTCCAATGAGATGAGCCACAATTTAGAAAATTTCAAATTAATAGTTCCAAAAACTGAGAATATTGTTCAAAGCTATCAGTCTGAATGAAATTAGACCAAATTTTTGAAGGTATATAACAATGAAAACAAATCTTTGGTTATTCTTGGCCTTTTACTAGATGATTCTATTGACGTCATTTGATCAGGTCCGCACTGTCTCGCTGTTCTTAGTGCCGAATAATTTTCCTATTCAAAACCGGTAAAAATAGATCGTTAGCGTGTTTTTGTCAATGCTTTTTGTTTTTCGAAATATTCTGAAAAAAGTTCGCTAACGGGATTGGTCAGAATTTAGAAAATTCCATGCTAAAAGTTTCAAATCGTTGAGACGTTGGTTGAAAAACTGACAGAACCTAATAAGAAAGATTTTTTGAAAAATATTTACAAATAACATACAGTAAATTTTGTTTGTTAACCTTTAGCGATATTTTAGGACAGACTATTAAAATGACAATTTGATTCGGTCCGCATTGTTTCGCTGCTCGTAAACTTTCAAGTAATTTTCCAACTAAAACAAATAATATAAACTGTTTCAACGTTTTTAAGGATTTTGTTCAAAGCGGCTATCAATAAAAAGGAATCTTAGCGTGTTTTTATCAAACCTTTTTGCTTGTTGAAATATTCCTAAAAATATCCAGCAACGGGATTGGACAGAATTTAGAAATTTCTGAACTAAAAATTTCAAACTTCGAGAAGTTGAGTCCAAAAATCACAGAACCTAATTAGAAAGAATTTTTGAAAAATATATACAAATAACAAAAAATCTTGTTTATTAATGTTTGGCAATATTTTAGGATCTCTATTCAAACTAAAATTTGATCGGGTCCGCTTTGTCCGCATGGCTAGATGTGGTGACACAAAGCCAAAAAAAAAGGAAAATTTTTTAAAGTTCACGGTATTAAATAACTGATTTAAAGCTTTCAGTAGCTATTTTTCGAAAATAATGTAACTAAAATAAAATGGGTTTATTTTACCCTTGTGCTAGAACAATCTATTGGACTGAAAAAAAAATCAGTTCAAAGTTATTCTTTAACCCAAGATCGGTGAAACTTGAATTTTTAGCATGTATTATATCAAATAATCGAAAATAAATTTACAAAGCATGTTTAGTTTTTGGGAATTTTCGAAAATATATCACAATAAGACAAAAGATCAAATTTATTTATTTTTGGCTTTCTGCTAGATAGATATATTGAAATGAAAATTTGACTGGGCCTTCATACTCTCGCTGTTCTTAGTAATAAGTCATTTTCTCACTCAACCACCAGTGAAGATAGAAAATTGAAAAAATTAAAATCTTATTTTTGGTTTCGCTGTTTTTCGTTATAAGCTCGTAACGAAGAAAATCAAACAGTGGCCTGATCAGAATTTAGAAAAGGACATCGTAAACGTTGGAACTGAAGTTGACAATTCGATGGGGTACGCATTGTCTCGCTGTTTTGTAGTTCTACGTAATTTTCCTACTCAAAATCATGGAAATCAAGATTTTAGCATGCATTTGCCAAAAAATGATTTGACTTTTTTATAATGTTAAATAATAGAACTAAGGAGGGTCAGATTTGAGAAAATCTCAAGTTAAAAGTCTAAAATCGTTTAGGTATAAGTCAAAACTGTCGAATCAAATTTTTAAAAATATGTATATACAAATAAGAGGCAAAAAATCGGTTTTATTCAATCTATGCGTTGTACACAATCTATTGAATTGAAAATTTCACCGGGTCTCTCTTGTTCTCAGATATAAGTCACTTTCGACTCAAGATTCCGCAAAAACAAAATTATTAGCTTGTTTTAGTCATCAATTTATAAAACCTGTTTTGATAATTAGATAGCTTGTAAAAAAAGAAAATCAAGACGGACGGTCATAATATAGAAAATTTCAAAGTAAGCATTTAAAATCCTTGAAAAGTAGGTTCAAAACTGTCAAAATTAAATTAGATCGGGGCGGCATCGTCTCGCTATTTTGTAGTTCCTACTCAAAATCGTAAAACAAAGAATCTTTTTGTATTTTTGCTTTATTGCCAATGATAAATAGTATGATAATAATATATTTAAATTTTTATAAGCTATATAAGAAAACTCAAGTAGTGGTACGGTAATAATTTAGAAAATTTGGTGTTAAAATTTCTAAAATCAGTGGAGAGTGCGTTCAAAATGTCAGAATCAAATTAGACCGAATTGTTTGAAAATGTATCAAAATAAATTTTGACTGTTCCACGTTTATTTAAAACAATATACGTATTGGAATTAAATTTGAACGGGTCCGCGTTGTCTCGCTCGTTCTCAATTCGAAGTGATTTTACTACTCAAAACCGGTGAAAATAACATCGTTAGCTTATTTTGGTCACGACTCATTAATAAAATTCGACATAAAAATCCCGTATTTAAAGAAGGACAGGTTTAGCTGTTGTTTTCGCTGTTTCAAAAATTGTAAAAACATTAGTTAGGTAAACTCAAATATTAAAAAATAATAATAATAAAAGGATTATCGATTGACGCTATAAACTACATAAGCATTATTTCATTTTTATTAAATTTATTTAGACCATTTGATATTTTGGTGTAAAATAAAATTTAAACAACGCAATTATTTAAATAGTAACGGGCTTTTGGTTTAAACAAATTTTTTTTAAAGTTTTTCTATTGTAGAATAGATTATTTGTACGGATAATAATTAATTATTTTGGGCTTTAAAAAAAATAAAAACGACGGATTGCTGATACGTTCTTTGTCTGGCACGGTTGTCAGGAGAAGCAACATTTAAAAAACCATGGATTATAATTATAATTACCAGGATGATAAATAATCCTAATCGGACTCCAAACACAGACACACAACCACTGATATAACACGCACAGAAACCAAAACCCGTGAGAGGTCGGAAATCGTACTTGGTTCGAGCTTATCCGGATGAGAACTGGCCGGCTGGCGCGTTGGGTGCCCGGCCCACTACTACTCACGTTCCAACTCTCGCTCGGCAAGTGCCGAATGTTTCCGAACGGTTAACGGACCTTGCTCATCTGGTGATAGTCGCGTTTTCCTGCCTTCGTCCGTCGGCGATTACGCACCTTGTTGAACACCGAGAGAGCTGCCGAGGATTTTGGGTCAATGAAGGTGTTGACAAAAAATCAATTTGGGGGTCTGGTAGCTTCTGAGCTTCGGTTGCGGAAAAGAATCGATACCAAAAGAAGGTAGAAAAAGGAGGTCAATATTAGACATACTTCAAAAACAGAGGGTAAGCATAGTATCACCATATGTTTTTAAGGTTTGAAAAATCCTCTCCTCCTGCGATATATACAGATTTATTGTACAACCCCTACAAATTACAACCATACATTGTTAAGGGCACTTCTTCCTATCAGCCTAAACATTTTCATGGATGCCTTTTTGCGCACTTCTTTTGATGTGACAATTGGCTTATCAAAATGGCTGTACCGTAACTAGTTTCTGGTTCCTCCTAACAGATTCGATGTTTCTATCTCTGCTTTTTCCCACCTACTTTAGGTTATAGTTAAGAGGGGGCCGGTATAGAGGACCATAATTTTTCTCAAATCCTGCCTGCTGAGACAGAGGAGTTCCTTTGCCTTCCTTTTTGAGAAACTTATAAATATCTTATCTTGGCTCAAGTGTCCAGTAACTACTTAGCACTTCGGTACATCTAATTGTGGTTCTGGTCCCATGGGTGATAAGGCTGCACCTTTTTTGGCTAGTCGGTCAGTTCATTCTTACATCTTTATGTCCGGGAATCCACTTTAAGATAACCGTGTTGTGTTTTCCCAGAGCCATTAGGCAATTTAAACACTTCCAGATAAGTTTGGAGTTGAAAGTGTCTGACTTATGAAAGTAGACCCGTGCACCTTTCATATTTTTTATTATTAATTCCTGTGCACAGAGCTGTACTGCTCAAGTTGGAAAATAGTTGGGATCAGTCCAAGGGGCTTTTCTAGTGTATAGTTCGGCAGTTTTAACCCCATACCTAATTCCATCGTCGATCCATCTATGTATCATATTAGAGCCCCTTTCTTCTAAAGGTTTCTATTATCTATGACCACTTGGAGTGGTCTTACCACCATGTATACTCTTGGTATGATCCATCGGATATAATAGACTAGTTTTTTTCTACCTCAATGGGCCCGACAGTAAAAAGGTCCGTGGCCAGTCATAGATATGCCATACTATAGGACGTACCTAGGATACAGGATAGTATTCGTCTTAGGACAAAAGTAATAAACGCACTCCATCCTTTTGCTATCTACCACCGCTACCCATGTAAAAGATTACAAGTGGTTGTATTTTCCTGCTTAATTATAACATTTAAACTTCCAAAAAGCTACATTTTTACTTAAAATAGAATTGCTTTTTTTCATTAGTCATGAACCTAATAAAACTAACCAATACCGCAAGGATTTCCAGGCCCCAGACATTCTTTAAACAGAAACTTTGAAACAGTTTTGAAAAAAAATTAGTAAAGTCTGTATGACATGCTTAATCCAACATTACAATTTTAAATAACTTATATCTTAAGGTTATGGAGGCGAAAGATGTGCTTATAAATTGAAAATAAAGCTAGTAAGTCGCTAAGTAAAAGAGGTTTACACATACGAATGCATATAACGCAGCTTGAATCGTCTGATAGCAAAGAAAGATCATAAAAAAGGTCATTTCAATAATAAAATGTGTTATTGATCTTATGCAATGAAGAAAGGTAATCAGCTGAAATGAAGCGTACCGAATGTTGAACGCACTGTTGAAAGCAGAAATTACAGGAAGAGAGCAAATCAGACAACTTATGCAACGAGCGGTGCCGATGAGGGCTGTGATTGACCTGTCGGCCGGTCGTGATTCCTGGTCAATTGCTCAGAGAAGGGGCGTTTTCCAGGACCGTGTGATGCCAGGCCGCATAAAAAAGCGAGACGGGACGGACACCTGAGACAATCGGTTTTCAAGGCTGTAATTGATTAACATAGACTCTGACTTTGACATTGTTGCTATTTTTACACAGTCGCATGATTCAATTTGCAATTCCATTGTATTGCCGTACGACTGAAATGGACCTCTTTGCCAATCTCTTTTGACTCCCAGTTGTCCTCATTTAGCCCCTTAATTTAACGCAGTAGCCACATTTGTTACTTGATCATGTTACTTGTTAACTAAAGTAAAAGTTTAAAGTCCTAAGCTATATAAAGTTCAAAGCGACAACGATTATTTTATTCACAGTATGAAGCTTAAAACTAACTGTAAAAAGAGCAAATCCAAAACTATCTATAGACAATGACTCCTGAGGATGATGTCTGCATCTGTTAACACTGCCAGTTGACAGTTTTTTACAGTTTTGGTTTTAATAATTTTAGGTGTTTTAATACAGCCATGGCCGAAGAAGATCCAACTTCTAAGGCCGAAAAGCTTCGGATTGATGATTTGATAATACTGTTTGAGTCGAATCATCGGGCATCAATTCTTCATTTTACTATCTTTCTACGTTAAACGTACTTTTGGAAATCGTACTTGACCACAAACAGCTTTTGCCTAAATACTTTCAAGCATTCTGAAAGATGAGAGTTTTGTTAATAACACTTGCAGTTGAGGATACCGGACGTCGCGAACGATGGCCTTATGATTACGTCCTTCACTTCTTAGAAGCGATGTCAGAACATTTGGTTCAATTTGATGACATCTGACAGAATGAATCAAATATGAATTGTCCTGGTGTTGATGAGATTGGTAATGGTCCCAAGGTAATCAGACCCTCACGGTATACCAATCCTCGACCGCGCCACCAACCTTCTTAAACAAAGATTTTGGCCAGCAATGTGACATTTTGGCCACTTGGGTTAAAAAAATATTTAGAGTATCTCTGGCGTTCTGCGAAGTGGTGTAAAGAAGCATATCGAGGAAATTTCGAAACTTGATCGATAAAGACAGCAATAATCACATAGCGGCTATATATAACATAATATCAGTCACTCCTCACTTATAATCGCATAAGCTGGTCGTCATAAGAAAATTGATATAACCGATACAGAGAAAACAGAAGAACCAATGGAACTGGAATAGAAGTAGGAACAGGCCATTCCTGATGGGTGATTTAATCATTAGTGGCGAACATTTAGAGCTCATATATGCTTACTTTCAGATAAAACATCCAAGGAAAACTTACTTGATAGTTGCATAGGTCTTCATATAACATTACAGCAACATGTATTTAACTTTTTATATCACTACCCGGTATTCAGTAAGATTAACTGTAGACGATTGACGTTTTCAAGAAAATACGTGGGACTGTGACTATTTTTTTCTAGATGACTAGGCAAAATTTCTTGTTTAATCGTTCAACCACGTAAATTTAAATGTTTTGTTAATAGAAAGGGAATACGAGTGTTCTAGAATTTGGTGAGGATGCTAAAAATGGCCATGAAATACGACTTTGGCGAGGTGAAAAGCATATTTTTATAGTGTTTTTTTTCATATGTGCCTCATTTGGAAAGAGGAAGCCGGCCGCCCTTGGTGCTTTAAATTGCCCAACTCGAATTTCTCTTTTGTTCTCTTGGAAGCGTACGCGTTGATCTGATGTCCTCAGAACTGCCCAGCCTTGGAGGAATTGCGACACCGCGGTGGAAAACCGGAGAAACTGTATCCTGGAGGCTAAACGCGAGCCGGACCCCGGTTTCGGTTTCCCTCGCGCGAAAAGTCGCGACAGGGGAAAAAAACCGGCGGACCGCCGTTTATCAGCAATAAGGACTTTCGTACTTTCCAGGACTTTTTAATCTAGACGGTATCGGGCGTTTCCGACGTCGTGGGAGATACAACTTCCTCCCTTTTTTTCCAGGTCGGACGACTTTCAGATTGGTGAAGTATTCCGTTTGGTGAAACGTCCAAGAGTTTGTTTTTAGTTTCCTTGAGGATCCGGGTCGGAAAAAGAAGACGAAGAAAACCATCAAGTGGACCCGGCTGATGAAGACATTAACATTTTAGAAATGACGTGAAGAAAACCGCACTCATTTCTTCATTTACATCACGCAACCTTATTTTTGAGATGTATAAAACAAAGATGTGAAAAGTGAGAACATCCCTACCCCAGGAAAGTCACAACACTTCCTCAAAAAGAAATAGTTGAACTCTGGAACTTAATTTAAGTTTGCATAAGAGCACGTTGTGGGATTGAAGCTTGTACAAAACCAAGAATGATAAAAAAAAATATATATATATATAATCTATAACGTACATAAATGTGTATCCATCTTTTTCAACTTAAAACTTCCAGAAAAAATTATTAAACACTCGGAGTTATGTGAAGTTTCCATAAGACCATGTGAGATGTTAAAATATCTGCTTGGTCGTAAATTAAAAGCATGATTATTTCCTGAAGTAATTTTATATTTTTCACCATCTTCTTTGGTTCGACTTGTTTATAACGTTTTTCTATATGGCATAATGATGACTCTATGACACTCCACAGCGAGATTAAATGCACCTTGGATTGTTCGATATGTGTTTTCTTTTTAGGGTTTTGCTGCTTCTCGTGATATTAATAGTGTGCCAATTTGGATGGAATTTTTATGATCATAAACCTTGTTATGTCCTTCCTCTTTGTTCACAGTATCGACATTTCGCCAATGAACTTAACACCCGAAGAAACACACAGACAAATCTTTAAAGTTATGAATTGTATCAGTTTGCTCGATCACGAACACCCTAGTCAACATAGTTGTTTTGATCTGCCAGACGTTTTTCAGATTCTCACCATCTTCAGTATTTCTCATGTTATGCGCTCTTTTTATAGATGCCAAAATACTAGGCCAACCAGCATGACTGGGTTGAATGATCGAAAATCAAGCTAGAGAAATATACATTTTCATCATCTTCAATGTTGGTCTGTGCGTTTTTCCGTTGAGTCCATTTTATAGATTAAGAAATGCCGAACTTGTCTGCGAATCAGGACTGCAAATGAAACGCTTCAGAATTTCTTCATCTATAAAATTGACTATAAAAACACTCACACT